TATATATTTATAATTTTAATAAATGACAAATTAAAAAGGCATGAACATTTTTTTTGTATCGAAAAAATATCGAACCGTGACACCAAAGTATCGAACCGAACCGAACCGAACCGTGAATTTTGTGTATCGTTGCACCCCTACAAATTATATATGAAGATATATGATTATGTATGTTTAGAAGGTTATGCCACCTACCAAACTGTCCAGTGGCATCTGAAAGAGAAGAAAAAACACTTTTTAGCTTAAAAACATGTACATGAAGCAGTAAGTCTCTCCAAATCTGCCATGTAAGCCCTTCCTAATTCAGTTCATTAAAAAACGCATCTGTCCAAGCAAATCGGAGTACCATGGGAATTTTTAGTCTACTTTAGATAATGAATTCTTTCCACATCTCTAGCACAGAGGCAGGCACTTTCATATATAAAAGGGAGACCACACACTCACCGAAGAGAAAGGAGAGGAATAACCCTATGAAACCAAGTGCTCCCTTCATGTCAGAAAAAATGAATAAAGGTGTGTTTTCCCCAGCGTATAACCATGTATAAAAAACCAAAACTTCTTAGACTTCGCACAGCGAGGCATAACAGGAAACCCGACAGGATGGAAGAGAAGCAGTGCAATCTTCGGTTACCAGATGTCCAAACAATGTTACCCGCGGTTACCAGATGTTCTTCGAAGATCTGTCTGATGGCCCTGCGCCTTGGCAGCGGCTCTCCCCCTCTCTAACACACATTTCTTTAAAAATTTCTTCCGCTTTTAAAGGGGTGGAGGCAACAAAGATTGTCCTCTCCATTCTCCCAAATAAAAGGGAGCACACCCAAGCTGGGGCTGGACTCACATCTGAAAACCCTTTACTCTTTAACTCTTGTTCTGCTTTTTAGTCTCAGTTTCTCACAGTCGAAGGCCTGGCCAGCTCACAGCATGTGATTTATTTGCCTTTTGGGCTGCCTCTGCCAAATAGGAAACATAAGTAAACATTTAGGACTTAGCGTTTCGGGGTGGATGTAATCATGACTCTGCAGGGTGTGCTCTGCAGACAGCCATGATTTCATATTTAGGTTAATTTGACCAAACCTGGAAAGAGTTGTTTGTCAGAGTTGACCAGCTGTTTAAAGGGCCAACTATCGTTACGCGTGCATGCTAGTAGGAAAACATTCTGTAATTAACGCAACAAGTACGGGAAATCTTGCTCATGTGTGCGATACATCTGGAAGATAGTTTCTCACTGTCCCTACTCACCACTTAAAAAAAAATTGTGTGCAAGAGAGGTGCTTTCACTGATTGAATTAAAAATGAAATCTATGGTTTAGGGTTTCTCACAACCAGCTTGTTAATTTATGACACTAAATCCATATGTTCTGCCTCTCACAACATCTGTTTGCCAAGCAACCTTTTGATTTAGTAATGACATCAGGAAATGTGTTCTCTTTTTTTTTCCAGCGGGTGGGGGGCTCAGAGTTGAGAGCACTGGCAGGGGGAGGAGGGGGACAGTCGGGGGATTCAGGAAAAAAGGAAAAAAAGGAAGGCACAGGATGAGGAACAGTGAAAGGGGCGCTGCTCCAATGTTCTAGTTGTTTCACAACTCAGAGTTCATGCGTTGATCACAGACGTTGCGTGGGGTGAATGACGAACAAATTTAGGAAGTCGAGCCAGGTGGGGGCTGCTCGTGATGAGGTTTCAGTTAACCTCCAACCCCAAACCATTACGGGCCTCATGTCCACTGACGTTGACCCCTTACTGGTAGAGACCTCCCCAGGAGTTTGTCTTGGATTCTCATGGTAATACACAAGGACAAATCTTGGCAGAAAAAAGGATCCCTGAGTTCTGCTTTTCTGGTTTGTCAGTTCCAGACCAGGCAAATAAGTTTAGAAATGTAATCCAAAGCAATTCCTCAGAGGACACAATTACATAAACCCTATTTGGAACTGTAAAAATACAAAATCTAGGACATATAGACATAGATGTATAGCTGTCAGTCTATAATAAAGTGACAGAGAAAATGTATGCACTTACTAAGAGTCATCATCCTGTCTGTTGAGTTAAACTCTGCAAAGAAAGGGTATAAGTTAGTCAGCGGTCATGCATGAATTTTGTTTCTTCCTTGGTTTGTTGCTTATTTCTGTAAATGTACTTACCTACTGTTACTGTCGGATGCACAGTTACCTTTTCTTCACTTTGACATACCACTGCTGTGCTTGCTGTAATAAGAGGAATAAAATAAAGACCTGAACACTGGAATATAACTGTTGATTTAAAACACCACAATATTTTATACGTGCAAATAATCTTCTATATGTAGTTTGCAGGCCTGACTGGGGCAGTAAAGGAAATAACATGCCGTGGTGAATGAACAAATGAGTGCATCCTCCCTTTGTCTAGCCCTTTTCTAGGGAAATCTTAATGTGTTCAACTCAAAAGCTCATCCCATGTGATCACGGTCTTATTGCGCGAAATAAATAAGTAATTGACTGAAATATTTTATTTATTAAAGACTCGTGACAACTGCATTTAAAAAAAAAAAAAGCAACAAGATTCATAAAAATATCCTCCTAAAGTAAAAAAAAAAAACTGATCCAAGACAAATCAGTTGTCTCAGGCTGATCACAATTACTCTGTGACCCTTAATCCAAACTGTTTCAGTGTAAAACTCAGTCATGGCATTGACTAAACTCCTTACTAAAATCTACTAATTACTAAAAGTTTTCTTTGAATTCTTACTGAGAGGTGAGTTCTTGGAAAAGTTAAAAGATTAAGTCAGAATAATAAAAATTAGGATAGCATAAAGCCTTTACTTACCCCAGATGAAAAAAGGCATAAAAACTCTGAAATACATAACTAAGAATCTGGTGAGTGTCATTTTGCCTAATGTTCTTCTCCTCTTCCCTGATGGGTAAGAATTACATATCTCAACCTTTTGCAGGAAGGCTGTGTAAAGCAACAGGAAGCCCTCATTTCCTAGTAGGGGCGGACTCACCAAATGGGGCAAAGAGCCTCTGATAAAGTTAGGACTATTGCGGCCCATTGGTGCAGGACTATCAATCTCTCTCTCTCTTCATCTATTTCCTTAGTTTGTCCCACCCTCTGTTTTCAGGGGCCACACTTTGTCCTGTTTTTCTCTTCCCCACTTTCTGCCTCTTTATTTATCATTGCAAGCAGAATTTTATTACAAACATGGTTTCCAGCTGCAGGAGTTTCTGATCAAATGCAAGCTATGTTAGACTGACAGGATACATGCTGCTGACAAGTCGCTTTTCATGTCTTGCATAAATAAAGATTTAGAGAAGTAAATGTTTTAAGTCAATTATTTTTAGGAGAAACACACAGGGTTGCAAATCACAAAGAAGAGATACTTTTTTTTAGCTTATTGTTCAGAAATATCAGACAAAGTTTTAATGAATCTACAGTTAATCTACATTTTTTTAAGTTATAGATTCATATTTCATTACTGTGGAGCAACTGACTAACCGTGGGTAAAGAATATCTATCTATCTCAATAAACCTCTGTGGTAAAGAGAGGTGGCTGGAATATCCAGTATGAAATTGATGCGCGTCACTGAGGGATGAGTACTCTTTTTCAGCTGCTAGGCTTGGAAGAAGTCCAAGTAGCAGAGGCCAAAATTGCTTCCACATTTCATTTCAGTTAAAAGAGGCCACTGTTTTACATGTAATGGACTGAACTTTAAAAATCCAGCATATAGAAGCTTAAATATTGAACTTGGAGTGTGAGCGAAGTGGAGCACGAAGCATATTTAAAATGTAAGTAAGTAAACATTTACTTTGACACGTGTTCTACAAAAATGAATGCTTCTACAGTCACTCGCTATTTCAAATGGCTTTCGAAGTCTCTGTTTTATTAGCTACTTTGTAAATCTTTTCATCTCCAAGGCTTTGTCACAGATCATAAAGCCTGCAGCATATCTGAAGAAATGTATCCCAAATAGAGATGCCAAGATCAACACGCGCAGTTTACGTGATACAGAATTAAAAACTTCCTGCTGATAACAGTGTCCTAAGCTCATCTTCCTCTGTGTGTTTGCTTGTTTGACAGTTTAGTATCAACATGGCAGTGGCTACTTCAAATATCACTGTGGATATGGCAAACAAACTGTATCTGAGATACTTTACGCTCACTGAATGCATAAATCATAAGCAGGCATGCGTGCCACAAACAGCACAGCCAGGGAACAGAGGGGATCAACGACAACAGCAATCAGACAGAAACACAACGGGTCTGTTAAGGCGATATAAAGTTTCATTTCTCTTAATCCTACTTTGATGTGTACATATGAGTTCATGTGGCGTCCTTCCAATAAAAAACCAGCTAAACAGCACCATCTTGTGTCTTGCAGGTGAATAATTACTGTGTCTGCTTTTGGGGATTTTTTTTGTAATATCTTACAAGTAATAAACTATAAAATGAAATAAATGGGAGCTATAAATAAAATACCCTGAGGCTAAATATTTTTAAATATATTTGTATACTTTGTATTTTACTTTTTTCTTTGTGTTATATCCTGAGGGGATGTGTTAAAATTCCTCCCGTGGAGAGCACACACAACATCGACCATATTTATCAAAGCAGTACTTTCAAGGACTTTTATTTATAGCAAACCACTACTCGATTGCCTGCACTTTCAGCTTCTTATTTGGCATTAAGTACACACACTAATTGTTTTATATTTGATTGAACGTAAATATTTGGATCTATTTAAAGTGATTGTAGCAGATTAACTGATTATCTCTGATTTTAAATTTATACACAAATCAGAATCACTGCCTCCATAGTAATGTGACTGTTGGTAATTTATCGTAATTACTTATAGTGTTAGGAGTTAGCTTGTGTACATTAAATCAAATCAAGCCAGAAAATCGCATGAGATCAACTGTTTCCACGTGAACCCTACGTCCGGTTTATGTGTGATGTGTTAAATTAAACATTTCCCTTCGAAAGGGGTGTGACGTTTGGCTACTTGCACATATGCAAAGATTTAAACCAATCTGCTTCATACAGAGGTTAATATACTTCTCTGTAAATTCAAGTCATTATGCTTTCTCATATCGCTGCTCGTCAAATCAAAGTCCATCGAAAACATCATTCGATTGTGTTTTCAGCTTGCTTGCAGCAGCTTGCTGTATAGTGGGTTTTACGTGGGTTAAGTGACAGCATCAGTGGCGTGAATACCTTCATCCAACCCTCTATCTTTGTGTGTCGGGCTCTCCCTGGAGGAGAAGAGCTGAACAGCAGCTGAATTGGTTTCCATTTGACCCCAGTACATTGGAATGTCCGGAAACTGTGTTCCAGTGTCCAAGTATTTATTATTTTTAATTCGTAGGCTAGACAGTTACTTCAGCTCTGTGGGCAGGCTGAATTAATGCATCCGTTTTCAGGTTCTGTGAGAAGTTGTTTTTTTTTTTTGTATATATAATTAAATACCCGATACTCCTATAAAACTACGTGTATTCATAATGTGTATTTAGGCCATTTTATTCTTTTGCTCCTATAGAGTACATCTGTATTTAAGATTATGTGATTGCACTTGCTCTACTATCAAAACCCACAGAGTGATCTGCCTTCACGCATTTAGATGGCGATCTAGCACTCCGGACAGTTGCATCAGTTCCTGTGTATGCGTGTAAATGGCTGTGCTGCGGCTGCTGCACGCTACTTTTTATTCCCAGGACGCAGAATAGTAATAAATCCTCCTCTGCTTGGAAAGGCTGTGATCATAATATAGACGTCACCCTCCTGCTCGAGTGGATCAACCAAGCCAAGTGCGCAGTTATTTGTAAGGTACAACAACAACAACCTCCAGCACCATGCCCATGGATAGAGATTTCTCGGAGATCCCCTCGCTGCGCGGAGATGATAACTGCGTCAGAGCCATAGCAAACACAGCCTTGAATTGCTCCGGATCTCTCTACTAAAAAAAAAAACGAGAGAGAGAGAGAGAGAAAACAGAAAGGGACTTGGTCGCGTTGCGGGCTGTTGTCGCAACAAATAGGACACGAGACGTGGATTTAAAGGTATTTAATAACTGCGACACTGGATGTGGAGATCTTGACGTGCACACCCGAGCGCTAGTGTAACGTGCCGTCATTGTGCTGTTCGGTCGCACGTCTTTAGAGTGTTCTACATTTAAATGGGTACTGTGTAGCTCTCTTGGCACGGGGCTGCACTTACAGGACGTCGCGGACTTCATAGCTTCATGTGTCTGAAACGTGTGCACGTCTCGTAGCCCCCAAAAATCAAGTGCAGCAGTTTCCCCGAGCTCAGTTTGACCTTCGTATTTATTTTTAATTCCGTTTGAGTTCAGACGGGGAAGTTGATGTTCAGCGTGGCGATTATGAAACACAGAAAAACTGTACTACGCACTTTTCTATTCTGCTTTTCTGAAGTGGCACGCCCACTCCTGTGCAATGTGGATGCCCCGTGCTATTAAATTCATGTGCTGTATTCATAGATGCGCACACTGTCGCGCTGTATGCGCATAATTCAGTCAATTTCCCCCAAGTTTTGCAAAAAGAGCAGAAGCAGTCTACCAGAAAAAAGGCCCGTAAAGCACTCGAGGAGGTTTTTTTTTTTTTTTTTTTTTTTTTTGCATTAGACGTCTGTTTTGTTTTGCTAACAGATGGGGGCACTCTTTCTGAGAGACCATCGGCGAGGGTGAATGGGGAAATGTAAGGGGGTTGTGAGAAACAGAGGGCGATAGTAAGCCCATTAGTACTATGATAAGGTAACTGAAATGGACTGCAGCCATATTACATCAAAACTACTGCCTATAATAGATTTAAAGTAATTAGTGAAAGTAGTTACTGTGGCAGAAGACATGAAAACAAGCCTAAGTTTACAAAAGTAACTTATCTGAATATGAAAGTGGAATGTTTTGAAGTTGGGCCTGTTTGTCATATGCTTTCCTTTTATTTTTAAACAGTCATGGAGGAAAGTGCTGCAGCAGCCCCTGGCACCTGTGTTGCCCCATCACTTCCAAGACCTCAGTCTTCCTCCTTTATCCCTTCTCGCAGCATGCTGGAGTGGAGACGGAGGGTCAAGTCTGAGTATATGCGCCTTCGCCAGGTCAAACGCCTTAAAAAAGCAGAAGAGGTCAAAGTGAGTCACATTGACGTCACACAAGTTAAATTCAGATGTTCAGGGGTTTTTTTCAGGGTCTGTGAATGAAGATAAGGTCGTAGCTAAATTTGGCACAAGACATCTTTTCTCTTGTGCAATCAGGGTTTTGTGCAATGGTCTCTAACAAATAAAGAGCAAAGCTTAATTTGCACGTGTGACACTGGTGTGTCTTTTGTATGCAGTTCTCAATGCGTATGTTATGTTAATAGTGTGTATGTCTTGGTCCTTTTTTCTCTTTTTTTTTTCTAGACCCTTTTCATGTCTAACAGGCAAAAGATTGAGCAACAGACAAATATCCTAAACACAGAATGGTCCAAGCTCCGGATTCAGTCCATCCCTCTGTCAACCGCTAATGGGGGTCTGGCCACGAAAAAGGTGGGTGGGTGGTCTGTCAGAGAGAGATGGAGAAATTATGGGGCGCTGATCTAGCTTTAGTAGAGCAGGCATCCCTTATGCTGTAATGCAGTGTCCAGGGTTCATTCCCTCCTGTCAGCTTTCTTGTCTTTTCTCCACTGTCCTATCACAATAAAGGCTAAAAGCCCCCCAAAATATGCAAAAAAGAGAGCGATGGAGACTATTAAGACAATGGCATGACACATGATTTGCACTATTATCTGAACCTTGCGGTACATCTTCTTATTCCTGTCCAAGATGCTCTGGCTAAGCTAGAAGTTCAATATATTTTTATAATGTGAATGTGTTGTGAGGAAATCCCTTCTTGAACATCATGTTGAGATCTCTTCACGCCTCCCAATCTTCTATACCGATTCCCAACTGGATGGGAAAGAGAAGTGTGGTAGAAGTGGATCGCATGACAGTCTAACAGTCTGCGGCCTTGTGGGAGCTTATAATACATACA